AAAAAAAAAAAATGTCCCTATACCTGTTCATTTGTGCAATAGATACCACCTAGGGTCCTAGGGGATGTGTACTCAGTTGTACAATTTGGGCTCAGCTAGAATTAATTCATTAAATCAACAAATATTTACAAAGAACCTCCCGGGAACAGACAGAATCAGCCAGCAAGTCCTTCCCATCTCTCCACTCTGCCTTCTCTCTGCATCCTTGCCACGGTCAGTGCCTCATTTCAAATTTCTCTCATTTCTCTCTCAGGTCAGTCTTGGAACTGGTCTCCCTGCCTCCTGGCTGGCATCCGCAAACTGCCAGAGAGATCTTATTAACATGCAAAGCTGATGACATCAGGCTTCTGTTCAAAAGCCTCCAGGGGTTCCCCATAGCTTTCAGACTAGAGTTTAAACTCCTCAGCTTTGAACCAAAGATATTTCATGATCTGACGATGCCTGTTTGTTCAGCTGCAACATCCATCTCTCCCCAGAATGATTCATGTTGTCTCAGACCTCCGAGTCTTCCCATTCTGTTCTTTCTGCCTGGAATGCCTTTCTCCCACCTTTTTTGTCTAGACCAGGGCTGTCCAATATAACTCTCTGAGGGGATGGAAAAGTTTTATATTTGCTCAGTCTGATGTGATACATGTGATAGCTTGTAGCCACCTGTGCCTATTGAGTGCATGCAATGTGGCTACTGAGAGCGAGTTAAATAGCTTTATGTGGCAGGTGGCTGCCTTATTGGGCATATGGATCCAGACCACTGCTAATCGCTTTGAAATATTTACAGTGCTCAAGTTCTTCCCTGGGAAGCCTTCCCAGCTTCATGGCTGATGTAGATGCCCTCCTTTATGTTCCTCCAGCATCTTTGATCTGCTTCTATCCCGAGACTCAGGTTCATTGACCCGCGTCCTCCATTGGGCTGAATTTTTTTGAGGGCAACGGCAAACAGTTCACCCAATAAATGGTTGGTGCCTAAATGCACTGGCGTGCTAGTAAAGGTGTAACAATCGGCTTGCTGAGGGAAAGCCCTGATTTGTTGTCACATTCGTCACTTCTGTGGTGTAAATATTCCCACATGTCAAGAGAATGAGAAGATAAGCCACAGAATGGGAGAAAATACCTGAGAAAGACGCATCTGATAAAAGACTGCTATTCAGAATATACAAAAAACTCTTAAAACTCAACGATGAGAAATTGAACAACCGATGAAAAAATGGGCAAAAGACCTGAACGGACATCTCAAAGAAGAAGATGATTGCAAGTAAGCATATGAAAAGATGCTCAAACTCATATGCCATTAAGAAAATGCAAATTAAAACAATGAGATACCACCACGCACCTCTCAGAAAATTCAAGATCCAAAACTGACAGCAGCAAATGTTGGCAAGGACGTGGAGCAACAGGAACTCTCATGCACTGCTGGTGAGACTGCAAAATGGTACAGTCATTTTGAAAGACAGTTTGGTAGTTTCTTACTAAACTAAATATAGTCTTAACATATGATCCAGCAATCATGCTCCTTAGCATTTACCCAAAGGAGCTGAA